TCTTGAACAACGCTGTCATTTCACGTACAATCATTGCCACCAAGACCGCGATTTCGACGATGCGTTATCTTCAACAATACTGCGTTATAATTGTTGAAATAGCTGCGGCGGCTGCGTTTCCGATGGAGGCGGAAATGTTGTAGGCCCGTGTGCTCAGATTTGGGTGCACGTTAAAGAACCCCAGGTGGTCTAAATTTCCGGAGCCCTCCACTACGGCGTCTCTCATAATCATATAGTGGTTTTGGGACGTTAAACCCCACATATCAATCAATCAATCAATTGTTGAAATATTGTTGCCTTATTAAAACGTATCTCGCACACATTGCCTCCCTAAGCACACCAGCGCCACACCTCCTGGCAAGCTACTACGCTGTGAAAACGCCTCGTCAGAATCTAATACTGCTCCGTTCGTGCATTGAAAGACTGCATTGGAATAAGTGCTTCGAAATGCACAATTCGTACGGACGGGCACTCGCTAACGCTGATAATATGCCAAGACAAAAATATCGGCAAGAACCGCCTTAATTATTCCAAACTGTTTGAAAAAGTATTCTATATCACATTTGTATTCAATTCGCCCATGCTATCCGTGTCAGATTACGCCCCATTACCACCCGCCAAATCAGACGCCTGTGGCATCCTCATGACATCCTTGCCTTGTACGCGCAGTTTTTTCCAACGGCCTCGGATCAAACCACCGATCACCGAAGCCAGATGCGTGTTTCGATCATGACGACAATAAGTCCGATACACTCGCCGATATTATGTCTTCTTCTTGACTCTCAGGCACGTCACCAAACAATGCTTGATAAAGCAATGCCATGAAACGTTCGCTTGCGTGCAACCCGTTGTGACTGACACAAGTTTCATTCCCTTGCTTTTTTTTTTTTCATTCCTAGTTTTTGCGCCTGCAAAAGAAGAAGGCACTTGGGTGTTTTTTCGGGGAATGTTAAGTTCCAAGCAGGAAAAGAAAAGGCAGGACATTCGCTCGCTGTTGGAGTTCTCACTCCCGAAGCCGTAGCCTCCGACAACAACGTGCGATTGCTTTCTCCTATTGTTTTCGAGCGGTAAGTCGTTTGAATACCATCTCTGATGTCCCGCCTCTGCAACGCTTGGCTTTCATCTTATCTTTCATTTTACGCGAACGCACGCGAGCCAGCAATGAATTGTTTTAACGAGTGGAACGAAGAATATCATTGATGGATTTTGTCCCCTTTCATAATATGATTGATATGTGGGGTTTAACGTCCCAAAACCACTATATGATTATGAGAGACGCCGTAGTGGAGGGCTCCGGAAATTTAGACCACCTGGGGTTCTTTAACGTGCACCCAAATCTGAGCACACGGGCCTACAACATTTCCGCCTCCATCGCCTTTCATAATATAACATCTGGGGTTTAACGTCCCAAAATCACCATGCGATTATGATTTTAAACCACTATATGATTGATTGATATGTGGGGTTTAGCACCCCAAAACCACTATATGATTATGAGAAACGCCTTAGTGGAGGGCTCCGAAAATTTCGCCCACGTGGGGTTGACCATTTCAACGGAAAGAGGGGGGAGTCTTGCTCGGGAACACAAGGGCTGGTTTCCGAGTTTCAGCAGCGCTTTTTGAGGGGGTCACGCATATTTACAACGCCTGAGAGGAGATCATAGCTGCGCCCACAAAATCTTCGTTGAAGAGACACATCAACAGGATGATTCACGTGCAAGCGGTTTTGTACGTTCACCTTATATCTAGCCCTCTTTGTACGAAAACCCGGCATTCCTTTCATCGATGCGAAAACATCTCTGGGTCCTGTCTCACTCAACGCACTGTGAAACCGAATCTTCGACTGAGCGCAATGAAATTGTCTCCAAATAATTAATATCGCGTGCTGGAGCAAACGAGCTATCCGGCCACAATAAGTGGGTCGTTAGTTACCTGTTGCAAAAAAAAAAATAGCAACATTTTTTTTTTTTTTTTTGCGTCAGTGCTCCTTTTCTGAGAGCGTCCAAGAAAAGGGGCTGTTTATGGTGCACACCTGTCTTGTTCCAAATGTTTTAGGAAAAGGAGGGGCTACGACGTATTGTACGACTGGAAGTGGGGATGTTGGTAAATCAAATGGTTACCGGAAAGGCTTTAGGAACGCTCCATCGCGCAAAAGATCCTCTCTTTTCATCGTGCTGTGCTATCTCCATGCATTCTCATGACCCTCGCCTAAGCTTTGTTTTGTGCTGGCAAGCTGTGGGCAGTGCTGCAGCCAGATGGCCCTAAGGCCAAATTCGTTGCCGGACCCACTAAAAATCAGCAGATTTCGCAGTCTGTAGATGCACTAAAAATTTATTTAATATCATAAATTTAATTAATTTCTTGTGTTAATAGTTATTCCGAATTTTATTTATTATTCCTGGTTGAGCATTTACAATTGTGTTGCATAAAATAAATATAATGAACCTTTTTGACCATCGCTAGAGCACTCCTAGCGGCAAGAACCATTTCTGGCTCACGCGACTTGTGTGTTTCTTGGTGAATGTTGGGTGACATTTGCAATGTTTAAAGTCATTCCTTTATTTATCGCTTATCTATAAATATTTTCTCGTGTGTATTTCCATTTTATGTCATTGTTTGGCGTTTATTGACACGTAGTCATTTTGTTTTTTGGTCTAGTTGACTTTCTCTTCTTCTAATTTTGTTATTTACCGGGTGAATGAGTGAGTCAAGCTGTGAAATGCAGCCTTTTCCCCTTTGCGCCTGCCACGTGGTTGAATAAATTGTATCTCAGACGATATTAGCCAGAAAAACAAAGCGTGACCCCACCGCGTTTTGTGAAGATACACGCTCTGTGGTTCTTTAAATCAATCTTCAGCAACGCTAAATTGCTCTTTTTTTACTAATTGATTTTAGTAATGTTGGTAACGTGAACTGCAGCACTCGTTCGCAATCATTAGCGCGACATTTTTTGATTTGCCATTCTGCTGGTTTCAGCAGCTTATTTTGTTCACTTATCTTGAAGCCCTGTTAATGTCTGCGGAGCGTTATTTTTCTTCAATAAACCAGATATATACCTACACCGTTTGATAACTGTAGAGGGAACTGACCGGCAGAGTGCTGCGCCTTATTAAAAGTTTGCCAGTGTAAGGAATAGCCTTGCATACTAATTGAATCACATGATTTTGCCCCACTACTAGCTTGTTGATGTTTTTGTTTGTGGTTGTACTCCAAAACAATAAGCCATAGTTAGTTATTGGTAGAAAAAGAGCACTGTCGAAAAACGTTTGACACATGTAGGACATCACAAATAACTATATGGCGCAAGGCACCAAATGTTTGCGGCAGCATTACTTATAAATATTTGTTGCAACATTCACTGCTTATTCAGCGCCGTATTTGAGTAGAACGGTTGGAAATAATTGTGTACCCGCTGAAATGTTGCAATACTTTTGAAACTATGATTGTTCCTGGTAACATTGTTTAGTATTCTAGCTACAATACGAAGATTCCGGACCACAAGCAGTCACTATCATATTCAAACCTGGTTTGCACGGTTGTTCATATATCTTGATGCAGTCATAATAATGCAGTATTCGGAAATATATATGTTAGCTACCATGAGCAATATTGAACCACTGAATGAAAGCATACGCAGGAACTTGATTCAAATCCCAGCTCATAACATCTATTTCTTGCTATTTGGATGAATGTATTCTGCGTGAGGAAAACTTTGAGGTCGTCAGCATAGCTTCATCCTTCCATTTCGGAGTAGGCAACACCATCATTCTTTCAAGAAGATGGTGTGGGAATTGATCAACGGCCCATTTTTTTTTTTTTTTTTTTTGTGTGTGAGACGCAGCCTAATGAAACCAACGAAAAGATAAGGTATAATGGCCATTACTTATATATGTTTTATCTGTAGTACAGCAAGTGGGACCACCGCACAACTGATAGAGCATCGAAGTTTGCTGATTCTGTCCCCAGCTACAGGAAGTTTATTTCTGATGGACTTTTATTCGTTTCTATTGATGCCATAGTTACATATGCTACAGTTAAAGGCTACAAATAATGTCTCCTATACCTTCCTTAGCAAGCTTACTAACTTCATTTTCATTAGAGCTATAACATCCGACTAGGCAGTTTTGTTGAACAACAAATTCGTGCACAAAGTGGTACTCAAGAAATGCTCACTGAGAGCGTGGTCGGTCTCTTTATTTGTTCGCGTACAAGTTTGACCAGTTTGGCAGCTGTTTCGGAAGTTCGAACTTTCGTGAATCCCATGCGCTTTTGCGGACCTTAGCCAACTCCCACTCAGACGAACCCCAGCTAGTAGGGAGAGCCATCGACGGGGAGTAAGCTGTGATTTTCTGGAAGAAAGAAACTTCCCCGAAGACGATGCCTGAAACGTACGGAACACAATTTATTCTCTCCCTTTTGGCTTGCTAAGCGTCAAACTAACCAATTTTTCATGTCCCACGGTAGCTCAGACACGATAGGTGAAAACTCGTTCCTTGTTTAACCAAACACCAGGCCTTGCGCAGTGGTCACTATGGTCGCCATCCGTAGACAGCCAGTCGAGGTGCATGCTGTGTGAACTCTTGCTTGACCGCGCGGAGCAAGAAACGGTGACGTCACATTAGTATGCCCCTTAATTCTTCGCATTCCTTCTTCGCGCCACTGGCGAACCGAACAATGCGGGCAAAGCCCTTTCCAGTTGGTGTTGGCAAAGCCCAAGAGAACGCGACGGGTGCACGAGTCGTCCCTTCCACTGGCACTCTCAAATGCATAGCGGTGGGCTTCTTCTGGTTTCAAGCGCAGAAAACCTGTCTGCGGCGTCACGTGCAAGATATGTTCCCAGTAGCCATGTCAACTTCTTGACGTTTTTCCAGCACTTGTCGTAGAGGCCCCCATGCTAGAGGCTCGGTTTCTCGGACCTATGGCTCGGCTCTCATTGGCTACTGCGAAAAACGGCCTGGTGGCCGCCCCGTCGGTAGGGCTACCGTCGGCTCGCTTGGCAAACATGGCGCTTGCTGAAGCGGGCGCTGCAGTGACATGGATAAAGAAAAATAACAGCTGATTTTATCGTTGTGACCATCGTAAGCGCTGTGAGACTCCCGGGGAGATATCGGTAGCCAGCCAGTATTCACTGCCCCGTCAGCACGTGCGATCGACAGCGGAAACGAAGAAACGAGCGAAAGTGTGCATGCGAGTGTCGTCGTTTCGTGTCTTGCCTGGATGTACCATCCATCTTTCAAGTGTAATCGCAATGAACTTCAAAGATTTCTGTGATGTAATCATTCACCTTTCTAAAGCAGGATATGCGTTTAGTGCGCGGCGAAGTGAAAAGTTTGTAATCATCGCAGCAAGTGTTGCGTCGGGTGTGTTCTGTGTGCCGTTCGTCGCGGCAAATAGTATGCATAAATCCTGAACGCTTGCGAGCGTTAGCTTCTACTACGATAAGGATGGGCAAGTTTTATTGCCCGTCATTGTTGTCATTCGTAATGCGAAACGCCGTACGAGTGCTGTTGTGTGTGTAGCGCTGTGGTGAAGTTCTGTGGACCATGTCACATTTGAGCGATTCTGTCCAGTGTTGTGAAGTGTGTTCATGAAATGGAAACCGTGAAATATTTAGGAGTGTACAGCTCAGTTTTCCATTTGCGTAGTTGCGTGCACGTGCCCTGAAGAGGAGCTTGTATACAAGAAATTTTTGTGCATGTAGCCCACCCTCCCCTTTATTTGAGGTACGCATTATGATCGATTTTCTATGAATGCGTGGCCCCGCCGCGGTGGTCTAGTGGCTAAGGTACTCGGCTGCTGACTCGTAGGTCGCGGGATCGTATCCCGGCTGCGGCGGCTGCATTTCCGATGGAGGCGGAAGTGTTGTAGGCCCGTGTGCTTACGGGCCTACAGATGGGGTGCACGTTAAAGAACCCCAGGTGGTCGAAATTTCCGGAGCCCTCCACTACGACGTCTCTCATAATCATATGGTGGTTTTAGGACGTTAAACCCCACGTATCAATCAATCTATGAATGCGTGAAATAAGTTATTGTAGACCAAGTGTAAAACAAGTGTAAGTATTGCAATAAATTATCAGATGTTCGACAGTAGCTGCTAATACAGTATCAATAATTTTGTCAAGATTGCAGGCAGTCATGCTTCATCATTTGAACACCATGACAACTGATATATCTGATTGCATCAAGCATTTGAAGAATAGTTAAACAATATTTTCAATATCCTGCCAAAATGCCCACATCTGTCTTGAAACATGCCTCTGTCATCATCAAGTGTGTAGCAAAATATTTCAAGCACATGTCGGGTCAAGAAAACTTCAAACAACAAAAGTGCCTATTATCGTTAGCTCACTGTTGAATGTCTGTTCCTTCTCAATAGTGCACAGAAACTAAAAAACGTACGCCTTGTCTCCAAAGAAGGATGCCGTCTCTCAATCAGCTAAAATATTTTATCAATAAATTACATGAATACGATGATAATTCATCATTCTTGGCGGTATTAGATATTTCTCAATTAGTACAACGTAGCTGAAGGAACTTGTTGGCAAACCTGTACACTGATCACCTGTCGTTGGCAGTTGTTGAGGCTTTTTGGGTAAATGAAATCAGCATAATCTTCCAAGCAGGCTATAATGATTAAATCCAGCTATATGTGCATGTTTTTGCGGGGGAGGTGTTGAAAGATTTCTGGAAAAAGCTGGAGCTATTCCACTCTGTGAAGGTGGGTGACCAGCCAAGCTGTGTCGCACAAGGATTTTATTTGCTTACTTTTTATATTTATACATCTATTAGGATTAGGAGTTTATGTGGCCTAGAAGTGCAACATGTCAGTTATGTATTTATCTATGCATTTATTCCTTTGCTCTTTAATTTTTTCATTCACCTCTTTTCTGTCTAATTTTTTATGCACCAGTAGTGAGTGGTAATGTTTGCCTCATTCTGTGGTGCATACCCACTAGGAGCTTTCTGTAGATTAGGTATGTGTTTGCAGACTCGCAGTACAGCCATACTTATTACTCATGGTTGCACTGGCGTCAGTCAATATACCTAGTGCGCCAGCTGCCATATAAACTCAGTCTGGACGCATACAGTCCCTTAATTCAAAATTTGAATCTAGAGACAGTTGACAACCATAATTTCCCGTTCAGTATGTAAGCTCGTGGAGTTGTGTGGACCTATACAGTAGAACCTCACTGATACATTCCCGCTTAATACGATTTCCCAGCTGATTGATATGTGTGGTTTAACATCCCAAGACCACGATATGATTATGAAAGACGCCGTAGTGGAGGGATCTGGAAATTTCGACCACCTGTGGTTCTTTAACGTGCACGCAAATCTGAGCACATGGGTCTGCAGCATTTTCACCTCCACCGAAAATGCTGCTGCCCCAGCCCGGATTCGATCCCCCGACCTGTGGGTCAGCAGCCGAGTACCTTAGCCACTAGACCACTGCGACAGGGCAATGATTTCCAGGCTGCTATGCTCGCAATCATGAAAATAAATTAAAGCAATTTAAATCAGAAGTATTCTCAGATCCTGCATTTATTGTGGGCATTTTTTTTTCAGAAACATATAAACATTTTATTTTATATTGGTAGCATGCATCATGAATGTAAGACATGATTAAAAGATGTGAGACATGATTCCAACATCGCGGCTTAGGTGTCTTCGAAGTAGTCTAATCACATAGAGATTAACCTGTTTTGGCGAGATGACGTCGCTGGAATGTTGTTGTGTCTCTGTGTGCATGAATAACAAAGGAACCAGCTCGCAATGTACTGATAGCACTGACGTAACAGCAGAGTTCGCATCCCACTGTGTCGGTACTGCAACATGGCTGTTTTAGGGCCAGCAGTGCAAGCCATTCATAGCCTTGCTATCAAAAACATCGAGAATACTCGAGGGCAGTGTGATAGCATTAGCAGCACCCATTTCACTGTATTCACATTTGCTTGCCATTCTTCATTTCTTTATGAACACTTGAACCATGCTGTGAAGGATGGAAAAATTTGTGCACATTGTAGAATATTGGCCGTTGTAAACTTTCCGCAAAGTACCTACTACTATATGTCTGTTAAGCAAATCATGCTCCTGTGTAGCTGTAAATTTTTAAATGCTGTGGTAGTTGATCACGATGAATTATAGCTGGGCACTTTGTAATGGTTTGTCTTGCTATGACTTATATTAGTGGCTGATAAAACACTAGGCTTTTGTTAAATGAAACCTGGAACGGTTTTGGTGATTTTGTACAAACACATTGGGCTGGTAGATTAAGTCTCAAGGGTTATTTAGAGACCGATTTGAACACTGCGTAAACTGTGTAATTTATTACTACGCTTGAAAGCTGCCAATCGCTGAAAATCGGTGCAGATCGTTGCAACTCGGTCAAATGCCTTTTAAACTGCCCATTCATAGAGGAACATGCTCCTACCAGAGCACGTCAGCAGCCACGTCAACATGGCTCCTTATCTGACTGGCTGTCATGGTCTGTAAAATGTGCAGAAGTAAGATCAACTGGTAGGGTAGCAGCACCTATCAGAGCAGATATCAACCACTTACTTCGTGGTCTTTGTTTCTGTTGCCAGATGGCGTGCGTGCTGCCAGGCGCACTGCGTGATTGCCTCCAAGACTGCACGCAACCTGTCGGTGTGCCATCTCGGAGGTCTAGACTGGTAAAACCTCAAAAAGGCGAGCGCACTCATGAGAGCTCTGCGATCGCCAGCGTGCCTCGTGAGTTGTGGCAGTCAGGCATAGGTGAGAAGGAAGGCATGATATAATTGTCTGTAGCGGCCTTGGTACACTGCGTGTCACTCAATTTATGGTGCGAATGGTTTCATGATGCTCTAACCTAAACGCTGACAAAACTTCAAAAAACCGTTTCAGGGTCTCTTCAATGAAAGTTCGCCGAGTTGAATAAGCATTGAAGTACAAGAATAGGTAGGGCTACATAGAGGCAGGAATGCATAATAGAGATTCAAATGGCGGAGCGGCCTATGTGCAGAGTCGGAAGGGCAGACACTTGATACTTCATGAGCTCGAATTAGGACGAGGCGTAAATGAACAAAAAAGAGAGATCTGTAACGTTTGTAAGCGCTAAATGCACGTACGTGACACGAGTGAAAGACACAGGACAAGCGGTCGGCTCATCTTACATACGTGCATTTAGTGCTTACAAATGTTATAGATCAATACCAACTACTCTAAACAATGTCTTTTCAGAGAAGGAGGAAGTGGAGAGTTCCAAAGAAGCATGTGACTTGTGTAGGATGCTGCAAACGATGTTCTGTGTCATCTGTGCAGAGGCGTACCAGCCGTGGAGGGCAAGGAGGGTGCCAGCCCCCCCCCCCCCCCCAACTTTCGACAGTGGTGACTGTTGGCTGCACGCCGGGGAAAGCAACAATTGAAGCGAAGTTTTCCTTCACCACAGTATTCACTAAATTATGTTAATACGAGGGAATATTACAATATAGTGAAATTTCTTCAACATTGTAGCTGTGACGATTTTTCTTGTAGGCTCTTGTGGTGCGAGCCGCCTAAGCGGCGCTTTGGTGCCTTGTGCTGTAGCATTGCAGAGCAGGCCAGCGCTGAACAGGGGCCCAATAACATTGTATAACTTGTCCACGCTTTCGTTCTGCTGCGACTGGCTGATGCAGTTACGAATGCGAACCAGCAAACTTTTTATGGACTGGTCAAACAATCTGCTGCTTCAGGAAAATTATTTTCATTGATCGAAAATAGATATTAATGCTGCTTTGTCGAAGCTGCTGTGAGCTGATTTATGTTACAAATTTTTTTTTAATGTTCTAGTGTTATCTGGAAGCGCCAAAAAGGGCTCTCCGCTTTAGTCTTCGATAAACCTAATCAGAAGCCTGGAATGGGAACAATTAGGGATAAGAGTTAATGGAGAGTACCTTAGTAACCTGCGCTTTGCCGATGACATTGCATTGCTGAGTAACTCAGGGGACAAATTGCAACTCATGATTACGGAGTTAGACAAGGAGAGCAGAAAGATGGGCCTTAAAATTGATCTGCAGAAAATGAAAGTAATGTACAACAACCTCGGAAAAGAGCAGCGCTTCGAGATAGGTAATAGTGCACTTCAAGTTATAGAAGACTATGTCTACTTAGGGCAGGTAATAACCGCGGAGCTGAACCACGAGATTGAAGTAACTAGAAGAATAAGAATGGGGTGGAGCACTTTTGGCAAGCACTCTCAAATTATGACAGGTAGATTGCCACTATCCCTCAAGAGGAAGGTATATAACAGCTGTATCTTGCCGGTACTTAGCTACGGAGCAGAAACCTGGAGACTTACAAAGAGGGTTCAGCTTAAATTGAGGACGACGCAGCGAGCAATAGAAAGAAAAATGGTAGGTATAACCTTAAGAGACAAGAAGAGAGCAGAGTGGATTAGGGAACAAACGGGGGTTAAGGATATCATAGCTGAAATCAAGAAGAAGAAATGGACATGGGCTGGGCATGTAGCGCATAGACAGGATAACTGCTAATCATTACGGGTAACTAACTGGATTCCCAGAGAAGGCAAGCAGGCTAGGGGGAGACAGAAGGTTAGGTGGGCAGATGAGATTAAGAAGTTTGCGTGTGTGAATTGGCAGCAGCAAGCATAGGACCGGGTTAACTGGCGGAACATGGGAGAGGCCTTTGTCCTGCAGTGGACATAGTCAGGCTGATGATGATGAAACCTGATCAGCCTTGCTTATGGTAACTTGGAGCAATGATGGCAGCTTGCGAAGTGGCGATGAACAAAGCAGTGGGCTCGAGCACAATGGGAATCTTAGCTTTTAAGCTTGTCCTTTAACTCGAGCCACTGGACCAAGGAGAACGTGAAAGAGTATGGTTCTTAGCAGTATGGAGGCTTAAATTGAGAGTCAGGCTAGTAGGTTTTCATTCAACTCGAATGGTCTTTTGAAGCTCAAAATACAACTTGGACAGCAAAGAAGCACACACATGCAGCACTTTATTTCTCTTTCTTTTTCTCTCTCAACAAGGACGAGCTCACAGAGATGTGTGCGCGCACAAACTACTAAACGCCTTGAAGCTGCCAGTGAAAATATTTTATTATGCTCATGTTATTTCATCTTGGAAGCTGCTATAAGTAACCGTTGATAATGTGACCGGCGGCTACATTACTTGAATATTATTTAAAAGAATATGCTCTCCGACTATTTCAAAAAGTTTTAGGTATTGTTCAGTGCGTGAATGCCCTGTTTAATGTGCGTGCGCTGTAATGAATACCGCAAAATTTCAGATTCCTGATGTAAGAGGCAGGCGATTTTATGGCACACAGACAATTTTAAATGCCAAAGAAGCAATGGCAAATAATATGCTGCCGTAGTGAAAATAGTTTATTCTCTTACTTTTTTCGTGGTCGTTTATATGTGGTCCCTACACGATGAATATGTGTGTGTGTGTGCGTGCACGCGTGCGTGTGTATGTGTGTGGTTACGTTTGCCCCCCCTCCCCCCACTCGCGAAAGAGTCGGTACGCCCCTGCATTTGTGGATCTTTTTTGTTACATTCAACCCTTTCTGAAGTCAATCCTTCAATCAACTGTGAAATCCTGAAGCCTCTTGGGAAGCTGTATGGTTCTTTGAGGTCTGGCAGAAATTCCAGTCTGCTTTGGTTGATCTATCTCTGGCTCACTGACTTCACAATGTGTTTGTCTGAAGAAGGGCTTGCCTTGTTCAGTACTTGGTTCCTTCTCAGGATGCTTTCTTCCAACTGAACTTCATACGAGCTGTCGTGAATTCTCCTAATTATTGTCTTTGACCCATGCCACTGCTTTCTTTGGTTGAACGGGGACATCCACTGACCCTTTCTTACGCTTGGTGAATCCTTCGCTTGTCTGTGATGGTAGCTCGTGCTTATCAGCCTCTTCTACATTCTCATTTCTCTCACAAAAAAAAATGACAAGATACCCACTAACTGTGAATGGAACAAAAATTCGTGCTGTTGTGCAACACAAATTCCTGGGTGTTATCCTCGACCGGAATCTATCGTGGTCAAAACACGTCACAGCCTTGAAGTCAAAGCTCAAGAGTTTTGTCCACGTTCTTCGGGTCATGGCCGGAGCAAGATGGGGCCCTTCGGAGGCAGCTCTCCTGCAACTGTACCAATCTTTATCCTTAGGGTACTTGCGATACAGCATGCCCGTGCTTTCAAGCATGAAGCCCAGTTGTGCGCACATGTTTGGGCTTACCTCAATGCACATCAATCAAGGGAACTCTTGCTGAATCTCAGGCTTGTCCAATCAAAGTATATGTGCTCTGCGAGCCTCTTCGAGTCCACCTTCGCCTGTTGACTCGACACAGGCAACATCCCCTATTGGCGCTCCCTGCCAGCCACCGAGACTGCAGTTATTCAAGAGCTATATCGCAACTCGAGAACATCATACAGCCAAGATTCTCTCCCCCACGTGTTCCTGAGACACCTCCGTGGCTCCTGCCTAGGCCACTTGTCATACTTCAGATTCCGGGGATTATGAAGAAGTCCCTTGTATTATCGATCGGCCTAAAGCAACTTACACTGCTGCACATTTATACTATGTACGACGGTGTGGCACACGTATATACTGATGGATCTACCACGTCGCGTACCTCCGTCGCAGCCTTTGTCATCCCGCAGGTGAAGATAGCTCGACGTTTCAAGATAGATCGCAAAACCACATGAACAGCTGCGGAACTTGTTGCTATTCGGGAGGCAATACGTTTCATGTCGACAGAACCCGCTCGTAAATGGACGATACTGTGCGATGCCAAAGCTGATTTTCAAACCATCGATGGCTTCATGAGACAAGATCCATATCATATTTTATCGATTGAAATAGCAGAGCTTCTTGGCATTGCTACAAAAAATGGACATGATGTAACATTTCAATGGATACCTGCTCATTGTGGCATAATGGGCAATGAAGCAGCGGACGCTGAAGCTAAGAGAGCTTTAAATAGTGCCCCGGAAGTGTGCATCGCATTTTCTCGACAAGACACTAACATCCTACTTCGACGCGTAATGCGCAACTCCATCTTAGAGCACTGGCAGAAACGAGAACACCAGCACAAGCGGCTGCACAAATGGGACCCGGAAATGAAGTTCCGTATGCCTCACAAGTTAAAGCGAAGCATCTCATGCATTATCCACCGCATTCGCCTCGGTGTGGCTTACACGAGACGTTACACCCACTTGATTGGCTGTAATGACACAGGTTCCAATTGTGGTCACTGTCGATTGCCAGAAACGCTCGAACATATATTTTGCTACTGTCCAGCATATGCGAGCGAACGTCAGCAACTGATATCTTCAATTGGCCGATATATTAGTCGACCATTAACCGATGAGGTTGTGTTAGGTCCTTGGCCTGACGCCAGCAGCACACATGTGGTTATACGAGCCGTCATCGCTTTTTTAGAAGCCACTGGACTGGATGCACGTCTGTAGAGTTACCCAGCCTAACAAGAACATATCATCTCTCTACCTTACCATCGTCATTCATCACTCTTTCACTCCCCAGTCACCCTTCCCCAGTGTAGAGTAGCAGGCCAGAGCAAACAATAGCTCAGGCCGACCTCTCTACCTTTCTGTAAATAAATTCTCTCTCTCTCACTCACATTGACTGTTTCTGATTGCAGTAACTGTGAAGCTAGTGGCACACTTATTTTAGTGTGGCAACTCATTGACACTTGTGCTGGAGTACCATTCTTTTCTTGAAGTGATGTGTTTCGTTAACAAAAGAAATGTCATTTGTGGGTCTGATTTGTTAACGCTTGTCGAACCCAAGCTTCAGCTACAATAATACACATAAATTGAGGTTGAGGCAGCACTTTTCGAGCTTGGGCACCGAGTCTGGGTATCTGCCTTGCGCACGATAGGGCAAGGTTGTGACTTGGCTGTACCGGAATGTGCTCACACTGGGTCGACACCTGGCCCAGACCAACTTAAGGGATCTACCTTTTTTTTTCACTAAACAGGATTTTCTGTATTCTTCACGTTTGCCTATCAACATACTTGTACAGTTGCACGAGATATGAAAGTTGCCGCGCGACTGTTGGCCTGCCTAACATCCCAGGGGCCTAGTGGCATAAACAGTGCAAATCAAGATTGTGCATTCTTCTCTCTCTCGTTGCCTGTTGCATGCTACAACAATCACCCATTAGGCCAAATGTACACATTTAATTTCTCTCAGTTTTGAGCCCCTCCTTCGTCGCAATCCAAATGCATTCTTTTTTTTTATTGAAATAGAAAATAAACGGAGGAGTTTTTGTCACCGTTACTTAGCGACGGCTACCCCTTTCCACCTGATTGATACACACAAAAATATAAAAAAAAACAGTAGCATATATACATATATACAGCAGTCCTACATGAGTGAGAGCAAAAGTTCTCCTATGGGCAGAACAAACACGTAGACGCCACGCTCACTTTTAACTTTTGTCTGCTCAGTAGTCAGCACAAATCTTCGTTTCTTCAAAG